TAAGCCTTGTGTGTGCTTCCATTAGTTTTCATTGGTATACGGTGCTTTAGTGGCGAGCCGCTGTTTACCTGCGACAAGAAGTTGATTTTGCGAAAGACGTAAAACTCAAGTCGTAGTGGGAAGCAACACGTCATAAACTCAAATGCTTGGTATGGCGCTTCTGGTCATCGCAGAGCCATGGAATTTTGGTGATGAGTAAAACATATCGTAGTCTCACTGTGACATACGCTTTCTAATCAAAATACCAAGAGAGAAAGTGAGTATTGAGACCGTTCCGGTTTGCAACCTATGTCTTATTTGAAACGGTCTCCTCTACAGCATAAGACCGTCTTCTAAGCTATGGTCTTCACTGGTTTACAGTTTTGGATCTGTAGAGTAAAGCCTCATTCACACTTCGTTTTGCGTAAGGGAAACACGTCACAACGGCCGCGGCGAGAAAGTTGACTTGATCTTGAGTTCCTTGTTTGGTCCATCGCGCGACCTTCGCTTGCGCGCATTGCGTTCATGAAATGAAGTATGAATCAGTCTTGAATGTGCCAGTCCATTTCTTTTTTTACCATGTTCTTGCCTAATTCTGTTGTGATTTATCTTGAATCCGTAGACATTTCGCCGTATTGGTACCATCCGTTCCACAAAGATACTGGTTCTTGTAATGGCATGCACCATAAAATGACATCTGTTCTATGGCTGTACTACATGTACATACGCAGAGGCAGTGCTGTACATGTGCAAGAAATCAGACATTCAAACATTCAAACATGCCAGCACAACAACTGACACTACTACTCCAGTTGCGCTCGCTGAAATCCGACCCACAGTGCAAAACTGACGCCCTGGACCAGTTCCTGTGACATCACTGTGATGGTGTAGATGTACGACCACCCGCATTTGTACCATTTCCAGGGCTTATAGCTACATGTACCCCCCCCCCCAAGTAGAGGGTACCAAATATGCAATTTAGGTCGGATTTCACCGATCATAACTGTAGAATTTGTGCGTGACAGTGAATATGATCACACAAACCTGTAACAGCATACACGCTCACATCATCTCAGATCTGTGTAGAAAGCAAGCAGTACCGTAATACCGCACATATACATCTTATGCCGCTCCAAGTAATCCCGTCCAGCGAACTTTGAACACTCGCATAGGATATGGGCAACCGACTCGCCTGCCTTACGTTGGTGGACAGTTTGTCATAACTCGTAGCAGTTTGTCCTTTTCCTTTCTTCATCATAATTATATTGGCTCACCATCCGAGTTCGGCTTTGCACACCTGATGAGCCGTCATGACCTATACGGCGAAAGGTACGTCGTGTGGAACTACTTGTTATTGTACATAACTAGTCCATCATATTTACATGATAGTGCCATTTTGTCGCACTCGCTCACGGTATAAGATCTGGTTACGTTGGTGGACAGTTTGTCATAACTCGTAACATTTTGTCCTTTTCCTTTCTTCATCATAATTTGATAACCGCAATTACCGTAAAGTACCGCCAGAGCGCCCCGTCTCGCGAGAGCGCCCCACCTTGATTTTACAGCCAGAGAAAGGAAAATCGTATGGCAGAGTGCAACGAAGTGTGTACGATGTGAGAATCTTAGTGTACTAAGGTCACGCTTGGCAGGTTTTTGTGTGGAGCTTGTGTCCTCTTGAAGGTACGGATTGACTGCAAAATGTGCAATATGTGTACAAGATTCATGTCGTATGACCTACAGACAGCAGACCACCTCCACGAAAGGATGAGATGGTGGGGCGCTCTGGCGGTACTTTACGGTAGTGATACAAGCTGAATCGACATTTGTGTACACTTTATTCATGCAATGTAAAACCATCTATCAGCGTCTGTATAAGCCTAATTTGTGTGTACAGAAAGATAGTATAATTGGGTTGAAATTGTTCAAGTAACGTGTCATGTTTGGTGCGGCCAAGCTTGGCCGTTAATGTTCTAGGTGTAATGTACTGCTGTTATTTGTTATCACTTTGTCCTTCCTTCTTTCTTTCACTTCTTTGTTCATTTTTCAGTTGCAAGTTTATTGTTAGTACACACATTCGTTATTGCTCTCGCTTTCATTGTTAAAATTCACACTTGTAGATTTCACTGCTGTTGTTCTTAGTGTTATTTCTTTAACTTAGATTTTCTATCAGAAAAGGGTTTGCTCCCCACACCGGAGCTCGCGCTATTCCGCCGACTTTACTTGACACTTGACTGACTCACGACTGCCATCCAGAGCACACGAGAAATCCATCGAACCTTCGACTCGGCAAACCTGCAAGAAAGCACCACTCCCTGCTCAATACACAGTGTTTCGGGGAATTCACCCCTCATCAGTTGAGCTTGAGCAGGCTGAGGAAGATTGTGCCTGAAGAGCACCACTTATATAGTGCTCTCCAGGCACAAACATCACCAGGGATACAAACTTACAGAGAAGCTCCGTTTCCAGCGCGACAAACACCTCGTGAACACCAGATAGCAGCGCGAGTCAGTGTCGCTCCTGGACGGTGAGACAGACGTCGAGGACCCTCGGTCATTCGCAACGCTGTCACCTCCAAACCAACTAGTCGCAAGCCCGCGCCCGCGCTATATAAGTGGTGCTCTTCAGGCACAATCTTCCTCAGCCTACTCAAGCTCAACTGATGAGGGGTGAATTCCCCGAAACACTGTGTATTGAGCAGGGAGTGGTGCTTTCTTGCAGGTTTGCCGAGTCGAAGGTTCGATGGATTTCTCGTGTGCTCTGGATGGCAGTCGTGAGTCAGTCAAGTGTCAAGTAAAGTCGGCGGAATAGCGCGAGCTCCGGTGTGGGGAGCAAACCCTTTTCTGACAAATCATCGCCGAAGTCGCAACCACTACTTCGTAGATTTTCTATAATAGTTCAATTTTGTTTTCAGTGTTCTTTAGTACAACGAAGATTCCTGATGAGTGTTGTACGGTAACTTGTTTGAATCCTTATTTTCTCTACACCATTTTTTCACATTTTCATCGTTTTATTGCACATTGTCTCCACAGTTTTACATTGCACGAATAAAGTGTACACAAATGTCGATTCAGCTTGTATTATTGATTGCGGTTATCAAATTGTTGTCTCCTTGCCGTTTGGTCATCATAATAATTATTATTATTATTATGAAATGACCCAAAGGCAATATGCCTATCGAGGGGTTCATTTGATTGAAAGAACAGTACTACTACTAGTATGTACAAAGACAAGTTGGGCTTTATATGCAGTACTGGTACAGTTTTAGCTTCTTCCACGAGCTGTTATGCCAAATGCGATATTTTTCACCTCATTCTCACAATATCTTCGGTTCTAATCAACCAATTTTCACAATCTTGGGCATTGTGGAAAGCTCTCCACGAGCTGCGTGTATTGAGCTCAAACTGGACACTACTGAGATCACATATCCAACGCCAGGGTGCTTCAATTACTCCCCATCGCTGGGTATCCGGGAAAATTCTCTCCTCACCAGCCATTTCTCGCTCCTTCATGATAAACATTTCTGCTTGAGTTTCTTTTCATGCTGCCCACCCGGACCCGCTCAAACTCAAAAGCATGCCAAGGTGACTCAGCATGTCTGGAGAGGGAAAATCCCCCGCGCCCGTTTAACCCTTTAACCGTCATATAAATTTCACCCATTGAAACGCCGAACGAAATTTCAACTTTGCCAGGTCATAACTTTAGTTGTACTCACTCGATTTTTATAATCTTGGGCTCGTTGGAAAGCTCTGGACGAGACCAGCACGATGGTACCACATTCTTCGCCTCAGCAGTCACACAACCAGCGCTGGAACGCAGCGACGTCGTCTCAACGCCAGGCATGCAAATGACAAGTTCAAAACTCCGCCATGGCCGTCTCCTTCATCGTAGAGTGTTCAAATTTTTTTTGAGGGATCGAGCATTTCGTGAGGAATACGTTGGTCGCGAGCAACAGTCACAGAGCGCGTGAAGAAACGGGGAAATCCCGTGACGACGTCAGCCGCGCGCCCAGCGCAGCGGAAGTGACAAGCGTGCAGTACTCAGCGCTTGATAACTCTGCTCCACTACATCGTAGCTCAACGCGGATTTCTGCAACAGAAAGCCTGGAAAATTTGCGACCGAATCGATAGTAAATTTTCTATCGTGGGTAAAAAATCATTCCAGTGCGAGTATTTCAAATCATGGGTCGAATTCGACCCACAAATGTATGGTCTGACGGTTAAAGGGTTAAGGTCATGTCGACCATACTCGTAGTCAGAAAAAAATCGACTTTTTCCGCGGCTGAAATGTCGAGTGCGATATCTTTGGAATACGACATCGCAGCTCTTCGCCGATTGTTGCAGCGGAAAGCTGAGCTCTTCGCCGATTGTTGCAGCGGAAAGCTGAGCTCTTCGGCCTCTTCCTGCATACTTCGTTTTTGAAATTTTGTGAAGAATCACATCGTACAAAGGTCCTGTGAAAGCTGTCAAGAAACGTCAAAGTCCACTCCAGCCACTCCCAGCAGTGTGGGGGCCGGTGTGGTCTGGTGGATCAAAGATACCAGTACACACGTGTTTTCGAATCTTCTGATTGCTTCCCTTTGCTTAGACTGGCAGACATCTGTCAATACCAGCACGAGCTGTCCTGCATGCATAGAGGCGAATCACAGTAACACCAACAGTACATATTTAAGCTCCCACCGCCAGGAATGTGCAACTCTTGAAGTTGATACCCTTTCGAGTCCGCCGATGGCGGAAACTCACATCACATGATGTAGTATGCCCGTTGTACGTCCCCTGCCCGTTTTTAGCGACTGTGGGGTTAACAAAATATCACCCGGGACAGAAACCCACTGGCAGATAACAGTAGTAGTGCGCATCATGATAATGAACATAGTCAGAAATAATCGGGATGCGCAGGCTAGCCGTCACTCATATGATCATGCCTGTTTGTTGTACGACTTTAATTAGTTTAAATAAATCCAACCAACCAACCAACCACTGAGTCTGTACGTAGTACGAACTGTACTTGGAACTTGTGATGTCGCCGTGGGAGACCCTGTACTGTAGGCTGTATGCAGAGCTGCACACTCTTGAGAGCTTTATGTACCGGTCTTCGTAACGCCGATGGGGAAATGCACTTGACGTAAGCGACACATTGAATACGGGTATGAATGCGCTCATGCAGGGCACAGCATGACACAGTATTATTATGTAGGGTGTCTCATTGCCTGCTCAATGTGAGCAGTCTCATTGCCTGCTCAATGTGAGCAGTCTCATTGCCTGCTCAATGTGAGCTGATCAGGTATGACTGCAACGCAACATCAGCTACATTAGCAAGCGGCAGCAGCTGCACGTGTAATTGGCAGAGACAATTCATGTACTAGTAAGCGACATAATTATAGACTTTTAAAACATTAGTGCACAAAGGAAAACATGCAGAATTGGGGGACTGAATACCATGCATTGCATGCGGAATTCCATGCAAACAATCACGGCTTCCACTCAGCCCGATTTACAGATGGTAAACGGAAGATACTTCTGGGTGAGCGAGTATGATTCTCCATTATTGGCAAGGGCAAGGACGGACCCTCTCCATGTGTGGAATCTAACCCAGGCCAATGGAGGATTTCCACGCACCCCGAGAAACACACAAAAATTGATAATAGCTGGGGGTAGACCGGGAAGCAACTTTTTGCATCTGGTCCTAAGAAGAGAGTGAATCATCTTATTCACGCAGTCCTTGAGTTGCGCTCCTGGCACTTCAGTCTCCCTATTCTGGCATGCTTGCTCAGCCTCCTTGCTGTTGCGACCATGTTTCCCTTGATCATTAGCCAGGTAATGGAGCTTCTGTCCTGTCCGACAAGTGCTCTCTGCACAATGACAACACATCAGATTGAGTCCAGTGTGGAGAACTGCCACGCCGTTCACGAATATTTTAATATTGTAACATGGAGATTGTGGGCACTGGGCACAAGTTATGCGATCGAGTCCTCAGTCCACCAACTACTAGCAAACCAGTTTTTGAACAGTCAGACGTGCACAATCTAGCACAAAACTGACAAGGAGTACTGAGACATTCCACGGCATCAACTGGTTTAGTTGGTGGACTCAATCGCATAACTTGTGCCCACAATTTCCATGTGACAATTTTTTCCTTGGCTCACCAACTTCATTCACCATCTGAGTTCTTAAAGGGGAAGTATACCCTAAAATCAAATTTTCACCAGTTGTAGTCTTCTGGGTGCTGAGTCGGATGGTCTTGGTCCGAGGAAGCTGCGACGCTCCCTTCCTACTTGAATCCCAATCGAACTCGTGCACTTCCACCGAAACTGGGTGACTGCGCCCTACTAGATGGGGATTTGTATGCAAAATGTCACTAAAAGCGCCATTTCGTTCTTATAAAAGCACGGATGACCGCGATTGGCCCATATGTTGTAGTCTTTTGGACGCTGAGTCGACTGGTTTTGGTCCGAAAAGGCTGCGATGCAGCGTTCCTCCTTTATTCCCAATCGAACATGGTTGAACAAGCGGTCACGTGCTCCTGGGTGCCCAAATCACCTGGTCACCGCGCCAGCAGGCGACAACTTTCACACCAAGGTTCAACTCGAGTGACAGGACTGCACCCAAAAAAGGTCAAACAGGCTAGTAAGTTGTACCCTGCAGGCACGGTGACCAGGCCACTGGTGTACGCAGGAGCACGTGACCGCTTGTTCAACCATGTTCGATTGGGAATAAAGGAGGAACGCTGCATCGCAGCCTTTTCGGACCAAAACCAGTCGACTCAGCGTCCAAAAGACTACAACATATGGGCCAATCGCGGTCATCCGTGCTTTTATAAGAACGAAATGGCGCTTTTAGTGACATTTTGCATACAAATCCCCATCTAGTAGGGCGCAGTCACCCAGTTTCGGTGGAAGTGCGCGAGTTCGATTGGGATTCAAGTAGGAAGGGAGCGTCTCAGCTTCCTCGGACCAAGACCATTCGACTCAGCACCCCGAAGACTACAACTGGTGAAAATTTGATTTTAGGGTATACTTCCCCTTTAATATTTACTATGCGTATAAATTTAGAGATCGCGTCTCACTTGAACTTCCTGTAGTTTCAGTCTGCAACTTCGTCGCCTCTCCTTTTCTAACTCAGTCTTTCCATTATCTGACAGTCCTGCTCTCACCTCTAGCTAGGTGCAGGCACTATCCGCCAGGTGCACCAACTACATTTCTATTTCTCTAAAGACTCTCAAATTTATAGAAAAGAAAAAGGACCCAGGAACAAGTTACGCTATAATGCCCACTAACATTACCAGCCACTAAACAACCAGCGCATGAGATAACATTGCACGACACTGACCGACGGTACTGATTTTCTACACCTAACTGGAGTGCGCCGGAGTGCTGTTGGAGTGCGCATCCAAGACGCGCTAGAGCTGATAGAGCTGATGTAGCAAATGCCTTACTGAATACCTGGAACTCTGCCGCCGAGTCAACCATACTTTTGGAGGCCAATGCCACACTGAACACCAGGAACTCTGCCGCCGAGTCAACCATCCTTTTGGAGGCCAATGCCACACTGAACACCAGGAACTCTGCCACCGAGTCAACCATACTTTTGGAGGCCAATGCCACACTGAACACCAGGAACTCTGCCGCCGAGTCAACCATCCTTTTGGAGGCCAATGCCACATGAAACCGAGACCGGAATGTAAGACCCTCAGAAGGAACCATCTCCATTGAGGGTCTGATAACAAGATTTCACAAAACTATGTCTGACCCCCTAGACAAGTGTGTAGCTACTTCGAAGTACTAGCATTGTTGTGCAGGCTGAATTGGTTGACTAGGATATTTTCCTGCAATGTCTCAGGTTCTATTTGGTCATGGACCAAGTTCTTCCTGGAAAGCACCACGATGCTCTGGGTGGCATTGCACTTGCACACTCTTTCGATTCTCGCAGTGACACTTTTGATCGTCACCTGCGCTTCCGAGACTGCGTGAGACGACTCATGAGAGCTGAACGGCACGTAACGTCGTAAGGCAGTTTGTCGCTTATTGTACTCGCCCGCAGCTTGTGCCTCTTGGGTACAGGTGACGGCGGGCGATTCAGCTTCGCTGTTGACATCAACATCACTGAGATCCCCAAAAATTGTCATCGGCGCTCTGCAGACCCACCGCCACGGACTTGCCGACACCTGACCAAACCTGGGCCATGCACAGCGATCGTCTGGCCCTGCGAGCTGCTCCAGTGTCACTAGATACGAACATTGTCAATCTTTGCTCACCGACTACTTGAACTACACGGCCAAACCAGTGTTTGAGCAAAATTTGAGAAGATGATCGCCACCGGTTCATGAATGAAGCGCAGCTTGAACGCGCTTGACAAAACATTTTTTTTCATTCCGTCATTTCTCAACATTTTTTTTACGAAACCCCAAATACATGTACATGTACATGTTTTAGCTGATCGCGGCCCATAATGGTTTTCTCATACCTACATGATCTACATCACATGGTTCTGGAGGTATTGCTGGCTGTGTGCATGCATACATGTATTTGCGTGACCATCCCTCACATACATTGAGACCACCCCTCACATACATTGAGTTAGAGACGGCCGGCAAAGAGTTACCCCAGCTAAGTTAGCCCCGCAAGAGTTCATCAACAAACACACGACAACTTGTGACACACAAACACACTCTATCCAATCTACTGTATATTATACAGCAGCAGCCACCCCAATGGTCAAGCAGAGAGTGCTGTGTTGCAAAACTGCGCAGATGTTTGCTCTGCAGCATTACTGATCAGGCTCACTCACGCACTCACCTATGTTGCTGAACTCCGGACCGATTCCTGTATGACAGTAAGACATGTAGACACAGGTGTAGGCACAGGTGTAGGTCATGATAAGAGATTCAAGCTGCTTGAGTCGGTGGAATTGTGCTTGTAGGCATCTCATGCAAGTTGGTGGTGGACACATGGCTTACTGTAAGAGTAAAATCTCTAACGGGGCACAACGTCTAGCGTTCTAACGAGAAAGAATCCACAGTTAAAAATCCAGAAACGCTACATGTATGACATTCCTTCTCTCCTCTGTGCTGGAGAAATACAAGACGTGTGTGCTGGCAAGGTCGTTAGACTTTGTGCCCGCAAAGTAGGATATTTTGCACGTCTTTTTAAAACATTACTATAGATTCTTGGTTGGAGGAAAGCAAATCAGCACACGAATCAGCACACGAATCAGCACACGAATCAGCACACGAATCAGCACACGAATCAGCACACGAATCAGCACACGAATCAGCACACGAATCAGCACACGAATCAGCACACGAATCAGCACACGAATCAGCACACGAATCAGCACACGAATCAGCACACGAATCAGCACACGAATCAGCACACGAATCAGCACACGAATCAGCACACGAATCAGCACACGAATCAGCACACGAATCAGCACACGAATCAGCACACGAATCAGCACACGAATCAGCACACGAATCAGCACACGAATCAGCACACGAATCAGCACACGAATCAGCACACGAATCAGCACACGAATCAGCACACGAATCAGCACACGAATCAGCACACGAATCAGCACACGAATCAGCACACGAATCAGCACACGAATCAGCACACGAATCAGCACACGAATCAGCACACGAATCAGCACACGAATCAGCACACGAATCAGCACACGAATCAGCACACGAATCAGCACACGAATCAGCACACGAATCAGCACACGAATCAGCACACGAATCAGCACACAAATCAGCACACAAATCAGCACACAAAGCACACGAATCAGCACACGAAGCACAGAAGCCATATTAGTTTCGACTAGTGTTAACACGAACGTATCTATCAAACGAGCGAGCAGTTCCACTAACGAGCGAGCAGTTCCACTAACGAGCGAGCTATCGAGCGAGTTAACAAGTTTCACTGATGTGGCAAAGATGGGGTTTTGGGGTTTCCCCAAATTTACAAATGCCTCGAATTTTCACTGCTGATGCCGGGGTTGCTGCCACTTTCGACTGGCTTCACTTTGGAAGGGTATTTGGTGTAGAGATGTCTTTTCAGCACCTTCGTTGAGCAGCCGTTGTAAAAATAGACCGCTTTGGAAAGATTACAAGAAGCCTTGTTCTTTGCTGCATTGCGGGAAAAACCTTCCAAACGACTAAGTGCGACTTTCACTCGAACGGAGAATTCACTAGCTCCACTGACTGTACTGTAATGTGTACGCAGTACTGTATACGGGGCTCCTTAGTGCAAACGATCTCGCAACACAAACGAGCCAAGTTTCTGGCGAGCGAGCTAACGAGTACCCAGTGAGATCCTTTCAACACTAGTTTCGACTAGGCCTTTCGTACCATTACTCTTCAAGTCGAATACAATGGTGATTAACAAGGTAGCAAGCATGTCCTTATAACCGGCACTTTGGCGGTCAGAGCTGTGACAAAATAGCACTTTTAAAGATAGCGCTAGTGGCACCAACTACATACTCTCTCTCTCTCTCTCTCTCTCTCTCTCTCTCTCTCTCTCTCTCTCTCTCTCTCTCTCTCTCTCCACACTATACTTTCGCTATTTTCTTTTTTCTTCAATCTTCTTTGTTTCTCTTCTTCTCCCGATTTTCTGATGTGTGAAGCAGGCGCGGATGCCGAGACCATTGGTTGGCGGATCCTGCAGCACCCGATCACCACCGCTGCGTTGCATTTGCAGCCCCATTCAGTCAATGTCTTGCTAGTCTGTTGTTTTGTCATTTCCTCCTTTTTTCTTTTTTTTTTTACGAATTGGGTGCGTGGTTTCAAGTAAAAAAAAATGAAACAATGAATATAACTAGTGTCAAACAACAGTGGTGACCGCGGTACTACAATGTCAAAACAGTGGCAACGTTCCACACACAGTTCTTTTGCACACACAGTTCCGGCTTCAGCTTGACAATGTACACTGCCTCCAGCACAGCAAGGTGAGATTTGTATGGGAATTGTGACCTGAGCCGTTTGTCACTTGTCAATTGTGGACCCATTGTTGCAGCAAGCATGAGACTGAACTACATACATGTATACTGTATATTCTCTCTCTATATATATATAAGCGTTGCGTTTATTTGTTGTCGAGGTTGGCTTGCGGTAGACCGAGGTGAGGGTACAAGTATTAGTCTTCTCGACTTGCACATCCAAAAAAGCCAGTTTGCCAGACTGCTCGTGCTCGCAAGTAAATTGCAAGGCAGGATGCAGGTTGTTAAGTAACTCCAGGAACACTTCGCTCTGCTCTTTGTTGTCGAAAGATGTGAATGAATCATCTACGAGCCTTACGTACAGATCTGGCCACATACACGCTTCAATTCTCGACTCGCAATACCCTACGAAAATGTTGGCTAATACAGGTCCCAGCGGCGACCCCATGGCCACTCCGTCCACTTGCTTATACATTATATCGTTGAAAGAGAATTCCACGCCAAGCGTAACCTGTGTCATCAAACTCCGGAATGCCTCTTCTGGGAGCCAAGGAGTACCTTCACAGGACACTATAATCATACTGTTCCACACAATACAAATCGAATCTTGTTCGCAACCTTGTCGATCGCGCCAAGCGCATTTGCTCTGAGAGCAAACTGTCGGCGGAGTTGGACTTCCTCAAATCAATTTTTGCCACGGTGAATGACAAAGAACCGACTGTTGGTCCAGATAGGTGCCCTATCTATTTGTGTCTGCCTTGGAAAGGTCAAGAATCTATTAATGTTTGCCGAGAGTTGAGAGCTTTGGTGCGGAAGACCTACTACGCTGTCAAATTTCGCCCAGTTTCTACAACGATGCGTGCGTTTCGGGTGTTGAAGGATGTCCTACCAACCAACCAACTTAGCCATCTGGTTTACCAGTTTGAATGCCGGCAGTGTGGCAGCCGGTATGTTGGTAGGACTGCTCAACACCTGTACACACGCATCAAACAACACGTACCATTGAAGATTCTACCGGAATCCCAGGGCTCTACGCGACCTAGACGCGGCCGGCCTCGAAAGAATCCAGTGCAGCCTCCAATGCAGATTTCGGAATCGACTGACAGCATTTCGACTGCACCCATGTCTACATCAGCTCCGCAGCAGAGATGGTGTGACAGGCCGAGGAACGTTCCTTTGCCAGTGGCGTCTCCAACACTCGTGCTGCGATCAGAACCGTCAACTATTAGAGCACCTGGCGTGGAACCATCCATGGTGGATGTGGCAGATACACAGTCAACATGCAATGACGTAGCTCTGATACCAACAGCCGGCTCGTCACAGAAAATCTCGAGACCAGTGGCTACCAGCTCCATGATTGTGTTTACGACCGCGTCGTACAGCTGTGGACTATACGGTTTTCTTCGGTGGTGGTGGCGCGCGGGCTACGGGGCTGGTTGGAGTAGGCAACCGGAAGCGAGCACGGAGGTCAACGGACGAAGAGGAGGATGCGGAGCATGATGATGAGTCGGTGGAGCAGGAAGGAGGCGACCAGGTACAAACACGGAGGTCGGTGGATGGGGGAGAAGAGGAGGAGCGTTCAGATGAGTCAGTTGGAGAAATTGATACCGAGGATGAAGCGGATGGCGATGAGGCTAGTGATGTCGGGTGTGATTGTGACCTGGAGTTGGATGTGAAGAAATCGGCAGTTTACAGGCATTTGGTGGGTCATCCTGATTGTTGTCATTCGTACTCGGATTCTTCTTTCACTGTGTTGTGTCGTGCGAGTCATACTCATATTATGCAGCTTAAAGTTTTAGAGGCAATCTTCATTCACTTGTACAAGCCAGTGTTGTGTGTACAGAAGGAAAGTGTTATCACCCTCAAATTGTTTACGTAGTGTATGGTGCGAGTGTGGTGAGTATGATTGTCCCTCCCCCCCCCCCCCCTCCGTTCACACTTCCTTCCGTCTGTTCAGGTTTGTTCTTTGTTTTGCTGATGCTGATGATTCACATATGCATTGTTCTTACCTGCTAAGCTTGCCCCCTGCTGAATAGATGTAGTATAATCACCTTTTTTTGTTTCGCTCTTTTTCCCCTTCTTTCACTTTTATTTGTCCATATAAGATTAGTTCAAGTAGTCCCCATTCCATTGTTACGTAGATTCACTGATGATTGTAACAAGAAAACAGTTCTGAACAAATCCTCGCTTTCCCTTTCGTTGTGTGCCTTGCGATAATCGTACAACATTTTACACATACACGTCGACATAATTATATAGGAAATGATTACTGTGCAATTAGTTGTCTTTGTAGCTATGTTTGAATTATTTGTTTCTCTTGTTGGCCAATACCAGTGATATAATAAAAGTTATAAAACTGATGAGAATCACAAGAAAGCACTATGGGATACATTTTGAAAATACACTCAAACGTCCCTTGTCCGGACGCCTCAGATACGGGCATGTCTCTCTACCGGGCAAGCCTTCAGCTTGAGTTCCTATGGCAAAAATGCTTTGAATTGGGGGATTTTGAATTTTTTGTTGTGAGTAAGTGCTTATTTGTCACTGCAAACCTGTGTAAACAACACGTTTTCATCAGTGGATTATTTTTGTATCCTTTCATGTGTAATGCGTGCCAAGTAAACTTCTTCAAGCTAAGATATGATACATGGTAGATGAGTTATCCTGAGATACAGGCAGTGCCCGGATAAGAGATGTCCAAGCGTACCTCCTTTGTATGATGTGTGTACACTTGAGATGGCTGCAGACATTATTTTACTCCGAGAAACTGGCCACGTGTATGCAGTGTACTTACGCTGACAAGTAGGAGTGGAACTGAACTTTTCAGAAGCTTCGCAGACTGGCGTTGCGTCGCCAACGATGTTGTATCCCTTTTTGCATGAATAGCGAACAGATTCCTTGATGTACACACGGGCCTTTTCTTTTTTTCCATTCAGGATATTTGGTGCTGTGCAGGATGGGATGGCTGAACATTGGAGAGAAAGAGAATAGACAGAGTTAGCGATATCAAAAAGTATTCTTTCTAGACCAAAGAGTGGTATATTTGATAAAATTTAATAACGATAGAAATATTTACGATACTTCTCCAGACGTTTCGTTGTTCTGAACAACATCCTCAGTGGATAAAGACGATGTTGTTCAGAACAACGAAACGTCTGGAGAAGTATCGTAAATATTTCTATCGTTATTAAATTTTATCAAATATACCACTCTTTGGTCTAGAAAGAATACTTTTTTGATATTACAATGAGAGTGATTAATCAACGGCTTGTCCACCAACTCTTAGAGTTAGCGATGCACATGATGTGACCTTCTTGCTGTTCGCACCACTGCATTAGCCCAGAAGTCGCGCAATGACTTCCTGTATTATGTAGTCAGGGCATGGTGCTTAGGATTAGGCCGTCGAAGTGCCTACGTCACGTCACGTCACGTCACGTCACGCTGCCTGAAAACTCGTAGTTACCCGTAGTTACAACGCCAAGTGGTGACAAACAAAAGTCGCGTCACCTGCACTTGTCGTGTTTCCAACGGTCACGGCATCACTTTGACTGGGGCACCGGCGCGCTGGTGCAAGATCGCGAGTTCAAATTTTGTTTTACTTCAAGAAGTTTCTCCTTCGCTCTCAAGCCACCGTGCAGTGTTTTCCTGCTGAGTGTTCACCAGCACCTGAGAGATAGGAGTTCTGATTTTCGCTTGCCGCTGGACAAGGACACGAGCCCGGAGTTGGTTGGTCTCAGCACTAAAAGAAATCAGCGATCGTTGTGATAGCCTACAGCAGAGACTTCTTGTTCGGCGCCTATATGTAAAGCCAAACGACAGTACAGGCGCAGCAGTGGCCAAGCCAAAAATCAGCTACGGCTTCTCCTTCGCTTCTCTACAAAGCGAAAACTACAAACTCGGCGACAAGTAGCAGTTTATTGGAAATAAAAATAGTCTCGCTCACGCGCTCCTCAGTCAATATGATGCAGTAGCTGTGTTCACTGCATGCTGCTGCCACTGGAAACACAACAAGTGCAGGTGACGCGATTTTTGTTTGTCACCACTTGGCCAAGTAACTACGCGTTGTCAAGAAGCTGTGACGTCAGACTTCGACGGCCTAATAACAGTGGAGCGTTGTATACTCATGGGGGATATGCTCTCCTGGAAGACCTGTCCAGACATCACCAACTCCAAAGAGACATTCTGTGTTCTTGCCAGTTTGACTTGTCATAATTTGCACCCACCAGCTGAGCATGGCTAGCTAGCCAGTGAAGACAAATAAAACTGTATAGCCAGCAATCGCGTGTCATGACGTACATTGAAAATCAACATATTTCTGCGAATCGACCTTTTTTTAAGCATCACTTTTCAACGAGGACGAAGCAAAGTCGACCGAACGAAGCCTAGAGGAAGAGAATCATCCCGTCCACTTCACCATTACGATACTGACATAGGTACGAGACGAAACAACTAAAAACTCCACAAGGAAACTGTACACCCACCGCCGCGCTGACTTTGGTCTGAGAATTTTCTATTGACCATCAAAATGTACGAGGAGCACTCAAAAATCAGCTACAGACGTACCTTTGCCGCTCTCTACTCCTTTTCGCACAACAGTGGTCTGTTCACTTTCAAACCGGGAACAAGACATACTAGTGGTCCTTTTCAGCTGCTCCACGAGCGCAGGTAATGTTCACCAAGGGCCGCAGAGCAGCATCCATTCCGGGCAAACAGCTAAAATGCAAGTAAACCTGCGTGCTTGAGTACAGTCATGCAATACACAGTCAAATAATTTTAAATTCAGTGTTTCTGCTCCAAACAGCAGCTAACTTTGACTAGCTGCAAAGATTACAAAGGATCAAACAACAAACATTTTAAACTCAGATACTGAGCCACGTTTCTTCAGAATTCCCAAACTCCATTGCAGCGTATTCCTTGCACTTGAAAACACCGCCATTCCGGCAACAGGCTCTCAGCTGCACCAAATAAATAACTTTGCCAATATTTCGCCCATTGGGCATCATCAGGGCATTGAGGAAGGGGAGGCCAAATTACGAAATATAAAGACGAATAATGCAGGCAGATGAATGTTCTAGAACTAACACATCATGGTGACACAATTGGCAAGGCCAGCAAACTAAACAATCATCACTTGTAAGGTGACCTAAACAAAACGAAAGATGAGAAAACTCACACATACACACAGACACAATTTGGCAAGAAAACTAACACTAACACTAACACTAAAGTTTACAATCATCACCTGTAAGGTGACCTAAACAGAAGAAAGAAGACTAGTAAGACTATCACAGCACGTACAAGAACACTTTCAAGTGTGGGAATGCTAAAGGCGATCTATGTATATGACAGCGGTGTATGTGCAAAGTATGTGTATGTGCTGTGTCAGGTGGTAAAGTCCAGTGGTAGTTCGAGGAGATGGGTGTCGATTCCAGTGACGATCCGGTGACATCCAATCAGTCAATTAGGCGCCAGCCGTCATCGCAATTGACTGCTGGTTTGCGCTTCCTTATCTCGATAGCTTCAAGCAGTTTCCTTGATGGTAGCGAAGCCTCCCTGCCGAGAATCTTTGCCTGGTGGAAGGGCAGAAAGTTGGAAGACTTTAAAGATTCTCGATGCTGGGTACGATAGTGGAAGCCCCAGGGAGCCTTCGCTACCATCGCCCTTGCCTCTCGGTAGTGCTCAGCGAATCGGTCCCTCACCGGCCGCTCGGTCTCACCAACGTACAATTCCGCACACAACGTGCAAGATATACAATAGACAACACCTTTGACTAAACACTGACTATCCACCATACTCGCATCACATGCACGACACTCCATTGGTCGACCTCTCCCTCTCTTCACCTCCGATCGCTGCTTCTCACGGGGACACACACGTACAGCACTCGACGATCGGACCAACATATCCTTCAAAGAAGGACCAGACACAAAGACAACACGAACATGCGGACTGAACTTTCGAACACGTCGTGAGACACGAGCGGCAAGTGAGTCGTTGATGAAGGGCAGTTTGATGACTGACTTGAATTGGTTGTGTCTGCGCTTGCTGTCACGCTGCTGTTGTTGAGACGGGTGTGTATCTTGTCTCTTCCCCTTGGCTGCTCGTCGTGCTGCGTTTATCTCGGTGCGTGGATAGTCATTTCTCTCGAGCAACTCTTCAATTATGGACATGCTCCTGTCTTCCGCTTCCGGTGTTGACGAGTTACGGATAGCTCGAGAGAATTGGTTCGTTGCAACAGCTCTTTTACACGACCAGGGGAGACATGATTCATAGGACAGGTGGACACCACTGTGGGAAGGCTTAACATAGAGCTCCCACTCTATGCTGTTTCCACGCACAGACAGCGCTAGATCCAGGAAGTTCACTGACTGAGTTTCGTTGACCGAGTGTTCCATTGTGAATTTGATAGTAGTGTGCTGTCCGTTGAAGTGATCTAGAAGTGCTGTTAAACCTTTCCAGCCATGTCTCCACAGTAGTATGCAGTCGTCGATATATCGCTTGTAGAGATCTGGCTTCACTGTAGCTGTCGAGAGGGCCTTCTGTTCAAGCGCATCCATGAAGAGGATGGCCAGCGGAGGTGCCAGATGGTTCCCCATCGCAATTCCACGCTTCTGACGGTACTGTTTACTATTGAACTCGAAGTAGTTGTTTGACAGAACATACTGCAACATCAGCTGTACATCCGCAACCGTCAATCCAAGCATGTCGACATCATCTTTATGCTGCTCTAGCTTGGTAATAGCGGCCGAAATGCTCTCATCTATAGGAATGTTCGAATAGAGGCCCACTACATCGAATGAGGCGATGATGCAGCCATCCGGGACCTGGCGATGCCTCTTGATGTCTTCAATGCAGGCTTCGGTGCTATCTAGATGAGCAGGTACGAACATAAGGAGCTGATTCAGTATCCTTTCAACAATCAACGAAAGGTTACTTGTAGGACTGTCGCAAGAACTGACCACGGGACGCAATGGCAATCCTGCCTTATGGTCTTTGGGGAGACCGTAAACCTGAAAATACTGAGCCAGTAATAAAAAAAGAGAAGAAACACATGAGAACGAGTTATGCAGCAACTATCCACGACTGTAACAAGATGATAAACGGTCAGAAAGTGCGATAATATGGCACAAAACTGACAGGCTACTGAGACATTCAGCGACCCGAGACCTAGCTCTAACACATCTCCAGTGCGCAAACCAACAGCCTTCCAACTTGGAAGGTTCATGGTTACGTAGGACCGAAGAGGGGAAGGTGAGCGCAGCGAAAATGTGCACAAGCTAAGTCCCGCGGCAACAAAGAATGCCGACTGTTACAGGACGATGACGAGACCAGTTAATAACATGACAATGCGGTCTAACTACACTGTGTTAGAGCTAGGTCTCGAGTCGCTGAATGTCTCAGTAGCCTGTCAGTTTTGTGCCATATTATCGCACTTTCCGACCGTTTATCATCTTGTTACAGTCGTGGATAGTTGCTGCATAACTCGTTCTCATGTGTTTCTTCTCTTTTTTACAAACATTTTATTCAGTTTTTTTTCGGCAGAACTACGCCAGAAGGCTTTTCCTTGTGCTTGGCCCAGGCCTAAAACCACACCTCCGAGGAGTACAAAAATTACAACTCCCAGATATCCTCGATTGCTGGCAAGTGAAGAAGTGGTGAGCATCTTTGGGAAAGGGCTAATGCTCAGTGCTGCCACATACATAATCATTGCACATGTACAATAAATAGAGCTGAGTCGGGTAGCATTCTCTTCGGGTATCTGGTTCGGGTAGCTTTCCACGGGTAGCACGGGCACCCGATCAGGTAATGGTTCCATTGCAACACCACAATGCACCCATTCCCTTCCATACTGGGTAGACGTGCGGAGTACGACATGAATTTGTGCACGTGCACTGTACATGATGTCACCTGCGACTTCGGGTTTTCTGGTGCTATTCTGTACCCGTCTACCCGAGGTCGTCACGGGTAGCATGGGTACCCGACTACCCGAGGTCGTCACGGGTAGCATGGGTACCCGACTGACCGTGCACACCACTACTAAACAATAATGTACAGTGAAACAGCTGTCTAAGACCACCTCTCAAGGGACCTTAAAAATGTGGTCTCTGTTGCCAGGTGGTCTCTTTATTCAGGGTCATTTGACTGGAAATAGCATCCCTTGGTCCTGGTTTCAGTGGTCTTTTGGGACAGGTGGTCGCCTTATCCGAGTGGTCGCCGTGACAGGTTCTACTGTACATGTACATGTAGTGCGAGGAGTCAGGTACACTTGTCACTTGGCACTTGTCACTTGTCACTTGTCATGATGCCGTTTCTTTCTGTGCATGTATACACTAACCTTTACACGTTGGCACTGAACTGAGATGGCCGTTAACCATACACCTTGGCTGTGCTTCACGAAGCTCGAAACCCGCAGAGCATGTGTACTGCGCTGATCGAGGGTAAGGCACCCTGTCCTGTTGCCTTGCTCCATTCTCAATTAATGGCACGGAGCAGGTGATGCCTGCACATATCGGAAGGACACATATTCCGTGAGTATAAAAAAGCAGACATGTTTACCAAGCCCTTAGCAGACACATTTTTACCAAGCCCTTAGCAACACTTTATATCATGTTTCCCATGAAGAAGAAGACAGTTATATTGCCCACAATCGAAAGTGAGCCAATATTATTATAAATTGGAATGAAGAGGGAACATATTGGTGTGAGCCACGAGCTACTGTCCAGAACTTCAACTGGATGATATTGCAGTCAGAAAGTGCCAGAGTGCCGAGACATTTGACGACTATGCATCTAGCGCCAAACACATTTCTGATGTGCAAACCAACAGCTTTCTAACCGGGAAGCAAGACTGGTGGGAGCATTTTTGGTAGGTCCGGCCATACCCTAGCCTTTCATACAGTTTGTGTATGATATGTAGGGTAGTCACATGACTTTCATACAGTTTGTGTATGATATGTAGCGGGGTATACACATGACTTTCATACAGTTTGTGTATGATATGTAGCGGGGTATACACATGCCTTTCATACAGTTTGTGTATGATATGTAGCGGGGTATACACATGACTTTCATACTTTACCGCAGGCAGTTTTTAAGCTTGGTTACCATGCACAAATTTATTTTCAAGTATCGATGTTGCCTAGCTTCATTCCATTTCAATATCACGCAGAGTGCGAGACGCCCTAACAAAATTGTTCTCCCTAAAGCAAAGACCACATCAAAATCGTTGTTTCTCTTCCAAACCTCCCTCTTATGGAACTGCCTCCCACCAAGACTAACTGCAGAACCATCCATTATTGTTTTCAAGAATGAGCTTCGCAAACTCACTTGCAAACATAGTGCTTCGCTCTCCGGTATGCCTACGCCATGTACATAACCCCCCCCCCCCCCCCCCCCCCGTGTGCTCCCCAACGCATTCACGTTGCACAACTTTTCACTACTTTCACTTTAGCTCATACGTGTACATGTACATCCTTCAAAGCGGTGAACCCCTTGATAGGCGACAAGCCTCTGGGTCATCCTAATAAAGATATTATATTATTATACAGTTTGTGTATGATATGTAGCGGGGTATACACATGACTTTCATACACTGTTTGTGTATAATATGTAGCGGGGTATACACATGCCTTTCATACAGTTTGTGTATGATATGTAGCGGGGTATACACATGACTTTCATACAGTTTGTGTATGATATGTAGCGGGGTATACACATGACTTTCATACAGTTTGTGTATGATACGTAGCGGGGTATACACATGACTTTCATACAGTTTGTGTATGATATGTAGCGGGGTTTATACCTCACTCCATATACACCCACACTCATATACCAGATCTCCCATGAAGTTAATAAATTTCCATATACACTGTTCAATATACACCACTAAGGAGGTATATACACCACTGAGGAAAACCATCGGAAAAAACCCACTGAGGAGCTTTCTTTCTCTGAAAAGGAGTGTATATAGCTTTCTTTCTCTAACGCTATATTCACTCCTTTTTAGGGAAAGAAAGCTATATTCACTCCTTTTTGCTCTTGAGCTTGCGCATGGAGAGGTATAAATATATTATAACAAGGGACCTCGTGTATATCGAGAAATATTGACCAGTTATAAAAACCTCGGCTTCGCCTCGGTTTTTATACTGGTCTATATTTCTCGTTATCACTCTTCTATATCGACCTCCACTAATTCTCATGATCCTTGACTGGTCCTATATTACCCATATCGCCGCAATATCGACCGCTTATATCGACCGCTTGTATCGACCACTTAGGCATTGTAATCTTTCGACTTTGGAAGGACTTAGAATTTTTCTCTCCACTTCAAAAAGAAAAATTGAAAGAAAGAAGACAAAGGAAGAGAACAAGCAGGATTCGAACTCACAACAGTATGGATCTCAAGCAACCCCTTATACCACCCAGCCACTGTGCTGCAGATGCTGAACTCTGTTGTTCTTACAGTCTTGTACCCAAAATAAAGCAACATCCTATGTACACTATAGTACAAATGCTATACTAAAAAGGTTAAAATAGCTCCTAAAGGTTCAAATTTTGGGGTTATGGCAAAGGAATCGTGATAAATAGGATATTGACCTCGACTTCGGTCTATATGGGAAATATAGGCCTCGTAAAAGACCTCGGCGGACCTCGGTCTTTTACTCGGCCTATATTTCCCATATAGACCTCGTCTTGGTCAATATCCTATACATATACACTCGGTCCCTTGTTATAATATATACATACACATGACTTTCATACAGTTTGTGTATGATATGTAGCGGGGTAGTCACATGACTTTCATACAGTTTGTGTATGATATCAAGAGTACATAACCATGTACTCTTGATGATATGTAGCGGGGTAGTCACATGACTTTCATACAGTTTGTGTATGATATGTAGCGGGGTATACACATGACTTTCATACAGTTTGTGTATGATATGTAGCGGGGTATACACATGACCTCCTCAGCAGTAAACACACGTGTTGGTAGCCAACAAGTTGGTCCTGCCATGGCCTGACCAACCGGACTGGTTCCACCCGGCCTGGCCGAAGGTGCATTGTTGAGGGACGAACTGACAGCGCTGCGTGCTCAGAGCAGTGTGGGAGTAGTATTTGAGAGACACGCGTATTGATTGTGACTGGTTGAGTAGTATTTGAGAGACACGCGTATTGATTGTGACTGGTTGAGTAGTATTTGAGAGACACGCGTATTGATTGTGACAGGTTGAATGTAATCACATGTTACGATTTGCTGAACTTTCCGTTTGATCTTCGCTCCGCAGCGCTATAGTATTTCTCTTCTTCCGTTAGTTCTTTCTCTTCTGTCTGTCAGCGTTTACTGTCACCCCGTCACGGCTGAGTGCAAGCACCTCCTGCCAGATACATCTACATTGCCCTACTTGATAATTTTTTGTTCTCTCAAACTTATTTCTACGTTGCGTTCGAACTGTTTTTGAGCGAGAGAGCTCTAAAGCTCACGGCCCTATGCTTTACTTTTTTGCCTAGCTCATCATGAATGTTATTCGAACTGATGGAAACGTTTTTGCAATACATGTACAATGATGTTAGCCGATAAAGTAACGTCTTTTGCATAGCGGCATAGATTGCATAGGTGACGGCCCTATGCCTACGGACCGCAGTCACCGCATACCGAACAGGTTCGGGCATGATCACATGTTTTCTCATGCCGACTGGATGCCTGTTCAGCACTGTCTCTTGCTGTCGACAAATCTTTTCACGAAGTCGGCGAGTCTCCAAACGACGGGATATTTCCTCCGTTTGTTCTTATTGCCGGCATAGCCTTTCGCAAGCATGGCGACTCTCGAGGCGGCGGGACCACTCTTCTCCCATCTTCTACTCTCTGTGTAGGCACTCCTGCCAACGTTATCTGCTCAGAGCTTCAACACTGTCACCCCTGTCATTTTTCTCTTCCTCATAATAATAATAATAATAATAATACGTGTACATCTTTTAAAAATTCAAAGGATCAGTCGGGAAAGTGAACTGCCTGAAAGAGAAAAAAATCCAGACCCACCGGGACTCTATCCCGGGATCTTGCTTGTCATAAGCGATGCTCTATCCACTGAGCTATGGGACCAGGCTGAACTTAGAAGGCGCTGACAAGTTTTTCATTCCAAAGGCAGCTCACAACACGTGCCACACATACTGATTGCACTTGGGTCTTTGTTCCCTCCCCCAGGGGACCAACCACAGTCAGTTTCTGGAAACTACCAGAGGTGAAAGAAAGTGATTGATTTTGAAAGGATTGGGAGAACTTCAAATTCAAAGGATCAGTCAGGGAAGTGGACACTGCCTGAAAGAGAAAAAATCCAGACCCACCAGGACTCGAACCCGGGGCCATGCTTGTCATGAGCAATGCTCTATCCACTGAACTTGTCAACACACAATTCGCCAAGTATCGCCGAAGTCGCACCAACCTCTTCTTTACATTATTTTCACAGCTTTCGCATTGTTGTTTGCATGGTTCTATTTCGGTATTTCCCTAATACTAGCTGGCTTGCATCTTTAGTACTACTGGTGTTATATACATGGAGGGACTCATTTACTTTCAATCTTTTGCATATCAATTTTGCTACACAAACTCAAACTTGAATAGCGATTCGAAAATGTTGCATAGCAGTTTTCTTCAACACTTGACAACATTGTCCTTCTGCAGAGCTGATCAGAGTGCAAGCTCAGACCACAAGTACACTGTAACACCTTGGTTGCAAACCTAGCCTGGTGCCAGGATGCATAGCTCAACACTTTCGAAGCTTCGTGCATCTATTTCATCCCTAAGGGACACACCTGGCATGTACACTGTGCTTCAAAGGGTACAGTGAAATATCAACATGCATCGCAGTTTTCTGCAACACATTTCTGAAGAATTGCGTAGCAAACTGCAATGCGATTCCGGTTAAGTTATTCCCTGTACAAGGAGGGGTTGCTGCACTTCTTCGGGATATAGTGATTGTATCGGTTGCTGGCCAATAGCAGTGATATAAAGCCCGATTCATACTTCATGTCGCGTACGGGAAACGCGTTGCGTCGCGAAAAAGTTGATCTGAGCTCAACTATTTCGCGTACGGGAAACCCGTCGCGCGATGGGTTTCCCGTACGCGAGATGAAGAATGAATCGGGCTTAATACAACTGATGAGAATTATTATTTTTATTATTATTTATTCTTCTTTTACTAGGGAATTCCCAACAGGCGTCAGCGCCTTTGAGAATCACAAGAAAGCACAAGACACAAGAAAGCACTGTGGAACACCCTTTGAAAATACCTCCTTTCTATGACGTGTGTACACTTGGAATGGCTGCAGATAGACGCAGGCGTGTACTTACGCTGACAAGTAGGAATGGAATTGAACTTCCCAGAAGTTTCGCAGACTGGCGTTGCGTCTCCAACAAGTTTGAACCCCATTTCACATGAATAGCGAACAGATTGTGAGATGGAAACATGGGCTTTCTCTTTCCTTCCATTCGGGATATTTGGTACTGTGCAGGATGTGATGGCTGAACATGGGAGAGAAAGAGAATAGACAGAGTTAGCGATGCACATGATGTGACCTTCTTGCTGTTAGCACCACTGCATTAGTCCAGAAGTCGCGCAATGACTTCCTTGATTATTTGGTCAGGGCAGGGTGCAATTCCAAATGAACAGTGGAAAGCTGTATACTCCTGGGGGATATGATCTCCTGGAAGACCTGTCCAGACACCACCAACTCCAAAGCCAACATTCTGTGTTCTTGCCAGTTTGACTTGTCATAATTTGCACCCACCAGCTGAGCATGGCTAGCTAGCCAGTGAAGACAAACAATTGTCCTTGCTTGCTGCTGACAAGACTCAGCTGGCAGAATTCTAGAAAGTCGCAGCGCCCAGATGACAATAAGCGTTCTCAAAGCGCTCAATAAAACACTTATTACGCAACAGGTCTGTGTTCTACGTCCACCTACACTATTGCACTCATCTGTTCAATAATAAGAGCCACCTTCCAACATGACAACTTCCTTTTGCAGAAGAGCCTTTGCTGGCAAAGAATTCAATGATTTGCTGGTTTTAACCATTATTTTCGCTTTAGTCATTATTTTGTCAAGTAGAGAGCTGGTGTTCAAGTCAATTTCTGTAAAGAGCAAATAGGGACCTTTCCCACCACGCGTACGGATACGAAATGAATGCTGATTCGTCACCTGGGTTCGAGGATTCGTCAGAGTCCCTGCAGAGAGCTCGTTTTCACGAATGGAAGCCTCTTCATTCGTGGCGTCGTGGCGCGCTCCGAATCCGTCAGGTACACATTTATTTGGCCAGGTACACATTTTTCCCTTGATTTCATGATCCATGCACGTGTGCGTGTTTTGGCTCCAGATTTCTACGCGGAGATGGGGTTCTCTACGTTGTGGCACACGCAGAGAAAATGCGTACGGATTTGCTGGGTATCGATCAACTGCATGCAGAAAACTGCCAAATATGGAAGGGGAAATTCCCAGTACACATTCCACGTGACTTCTCTAGGTGAAACGTAGAGCAGAACAGCATTTCTTTACGTTACGGGAAAGCGAAGAAAGTTCGCGTGATTCTTTGCGTCGCGTTCCCAAAACGTAGAGCAGAACCTCCCTTGTGTCTTCCTAGATTTCCGGAAAGCATTTGATAAGGTCCACCACCCAACACTCATCAAATGTCTAGAACGATGCATGGATCACTCCACAGTCAAAATGGTTCCAGAGCTATTTAAGCCACAGAAAGCTACAAGTGAAGATAGAGCAGACCGTCTCCGCGACTCGTTCCATCACCAGCGGAGTTCCGCAGGGATCGCACCTTGCCCCCTCCCCCCCCCCCCCCCACACACTCTTTCTACTGTATATTAACACCTTCCCTGATAGTCTCCACCATAGTAGCCCCTTTCTGTTTGTAGACGACGTGACTCTTCTGTATGCTCACCACCGGGCATTATCCCTCGATGAGAATCGGTCTAACGTCCAGCAGGAGCTCGACAGTTACCAGCAATGGGCCAGGAGCGTCCATGGTGAGTTCTCACCGGAGAAGACTTCCTCCCTCTGCAACTACCAATTGTCTACATCATCACCAACCCGGATGGACAATATTCCGATTCGTCACCCTACTTCTGTAGTTCACCTTGAAGTAGAGCTAAGCCCTGATCTAAAGTTTTATAATCATTTTGCAACCGTTTTCAGGAAGTTCCGGCAAAGAGTAACCTACTCTGCTACATGGGCCGTCATTTACATCACTTTAACCCCCCTGTGTCAGGGTACGTTTGCCCTGCAACTGAATACGCCATTCTAGTGTGGACATATAGATCAAGTCACTGAGCACCCAACTAGCCTTGATGTACTTCAAGCTAGAGAGAAGTGTAGATCCATTTTAAAGTCTAGTAACACAGCCTTTGATAAATTTGAAACTAAAGAAAATCTAAATAAGCTATGGCATACTCAATCCAATAAACGAGAGAGCTTGGAAGCTCAGGGCCGTACGCTATACTTTTTTTGCCTAGCGAGAGTCAACTTTCTCTTTGCATTCGAGGGTAATACGACGGCACCGTCTACCACCTTGATGACCTAGGCAAAAAGCATAGGGATGTTATAATTTTTTCATTTTTCCTATTTTTTTAGACATAACCTAGGATTCGAACCCGCACCATCGCCCTGCATGCATTCCTCCGATACACTTCGCATACAATACTCATTCTTCCAAGTTGCTTCACGTTATGATCTTGCATTTGAAAGCCCTATTTGAATATTGCCATCACCATCAGAGCTTGTACGGCTGTCAAGGAATCACCATCATCCAGCTCCTCGCCAGGTCAGCACGCCACGTCCTGTTGTCTTCGTTTGTCGCGTTTAGTTCTTTCCAAATTTTGTATTTTGTTCATCGCCGGTATCTCTCTCTTTCTCTTTCTCTGTTTCCCCCGTCCCCGGTCCACATCCTCTCTCTTTCCCCTTTATCATGTCCCTCGGTCGATATTCCTCGTTCGTGGATGCTGCTGATGTAGTCTTCTGCCACCCTTCTGTTATACATGTATATTACTCGTGTTTGGTCTGTTCTGTTCCTTCATTTTGATCCTTCATCGTTACTTTCCTGTTTTTGTTTTGCTTTGCTCTTTTGTGTTTTTTGTTTGTTTTTGTTTTTGTTCTCCCCTCTCTCATTTCGTACAGACACGCGACACAGTTTGGCACAAGCGAGGTGGGCAAACCTGCCCACGTGTGGCCACTACGCGGACGTGCTTATAATAAATAAATAATAATTTGAATATTGTGGCCAGTTGTCTTTGATGGTACGGTACGGGGAAGCGCCAGGCATGCCGATGGCACAAACAAACACGAAATTAAAGCTGTGTGGACCCTGGCTAGCGCCAGACGTTACTGAAGTAACGTCTTTTTGCATAGCTACGGGAATAAGATCAACTGTGCACTCATAACAACAGCAAAAAATGAAGAAACCATAACGTTTTCTTGTGACTTTCATCAGTGGAACGCCGCGTTAACTTTCTTCATATGTTGCTGTTGTTATGAGTGCACAATTGATCTTATGGTTGATAAATATGGTGGTAAAGACACACCTGGCAATATGGCGGTAAACACACGCCTGCCCACACACGCTCTCTAGGCTGCAAAGTTCTGGCACAGAGCTCTCCTTCTCACCACCACCACCATCAGTTCGCGCCTGGCGCCTGGTCGATGCATGGTTGGTGGTATCCATATGGCGGTATCCATATTGCCAGGTGTGTCTTTACCACCATATTTATCAACCATAAGTACAGCTGCAGTGGTGTCTTCAACTTCATTCTCCCGAGTCGAGCTCCGTGTGAAGACACCCAAGAAGAAGATTGCCTGATGAGTCCAGCGGGGACGAAACGTACGTCGCAATCGAGCTATGTCGTTGCTGTGTCATCTGGTATGTGCCATGCGCTACTTGATGTAGCAGCCTGCTATGCCGGATACCGCCAACCATGCATCGACCAGGCGCCAGGCGCGAACTGATGGTGGTGGGGGTGGTGAGAAGGAGAGCTCTGTGCCAGAACTTTGCAGCCTAGAGACCATGTGTGGGCAGGCGTGTGTGTTACCGCCGTATTGCCAGGCGTGTCTTTACCACCATATTTATCAACCATAAGTACAGCTGCAGTGGTGTCTTCAGCTTCATTCTCACAATTGATCTTATTAATTTTATTGCCATTTTACGACTACTGTCTCCTTGTCAATTGTTTACACATTCAACCCCTTCACTTTAGACGCTAGTTTCTTTCACTGGTCACCCCCTTTAGATGCATCCATCCGCGCCATACATGATGTAATTATCTTGCAATGGTCATACATGATGTAATTATCTTGCAATGGTCATACATGATGTAATTATCTCGCAATGGTCATACATGATGTAATTATCTCGCAATGGTCATACATGATGTAATTATCTCGCAATGGTCCACATTACCATTACTAACAGTGAGCGCTGTCCGAACACACTAGTCTTCCATCGTCATGGCCGCCGCATACTATCTTCTATGTTTCTGTTTCAGGCAGGCACTCTGCGGAACTGTCTGCCCCCTGCCATAACCTCCATCATAAATATTGCTATTCCTTCCAAGTCGTCCTATTTATAGTAAAGAAAAAGGACCGAGAAACTACAAGTTACGCTATTACAGAAGCTATCAATAAAATCAAATGCGCACTCATTACTTCGACTCAAAAGGCAAGTTAGGTCATGAGGTCATGAGTTCACCAAAAACGGTTTCCTGTGATGATCATCAGTTTGAATTTACATCACACTGACAGGTAATGCAAGAAGGAATATGTCATTCCATGTACATGCAAAGAATGCCATGGCTGGTTAGAATCACCCACAGCTGTGGCCGGTGGATGTTCAAGTACAGAGCTCTGCTCTAGACAGCTGTGGCAGCAGCTGCACAGTGGCTGAAGGACTTGCATCCACTGGTTGACGAAAGTAAGACCACCTGTCATCCACTTCCTAGACCTTCAGCCATTGTACAGCTGCTGTCACAGCTGACTGGCGATGCTCTTCTGGGGCTAGAAATTCCTCTTGAGCAGCAACAGTGGCAGTGTCGTCTGCACACTGGCAACACTCGGTGAATTCGGTGCACCTGGTGCACTTTGGTTCTCTCATTTTGTTCCTGCTTGCACTTGTTAGTTCTTGAGACTGCCAGTCTGTATTTCACATGTGTTACACGCACAACACTGTTTCTGCGAGTGACCAGTGACAGAGCACTGCCAAACACGTGTGTTACACGCACAACACTGATACTGCGAGTGACCAGTGACAGAGCACTGCCAAAGTCACCTCTGTGAAATATGGACAGTGGTTGTGTTAATGTGTTTTAGAAGGGGGTGCAGAAGTCCTGAGAGTTGGCATCAGGTAAATCATCATCAAGCAAATCCCCAGGCATGATGTCATAGTTTGTACCAGTGAAGTAGTTTGCGACTCATGCCATGAAAGGTCAGAAGTCAAGAGTTTCTAAAAGAGAATACAGAACCATTGGCCTGAAACAATGAGGCTGAGACTACGCGCACAGTCAAACTTACGAATACATTTTGGACGATGGGAGTAAAAAGGTCTAAAGTATTCATCTCGAAAAGCGTTGTTTCCACCACATCGATACTCCAGCGAGGTATCGGGTCCAGCCTCAAAACCGGGAGAGCATGTGTATACCACCAGTGAAGACAAGGGAATTCTTTCGGCGGGGTGATTAGCATTAGGAAAGCGAGGCACAATGCAATCTACACAAGACAACACAACAACACAAGCACAGTTTTAAACCAGTGATTTTACGCATGTACAGTGGATATCGGTTATAAAGTCATCGGACATAGTGATAAACCGGCTATATTGATACAAAATGAAAATATCAAAAGCAAAACCAGAAAAAGCCAGTCAAATTATCGTTATAACCAATAATATCGGATATAGCGATAAATCGGCTATAAGGATACAGAATCACCTTTCAAAACACCTCTTTGTACGGAAAAATATCGTCTATAGTGATAGCAACACAAGCGTGTGAGGCATTCACGTCTCGACTTGGAGCCACATGTGCGTTTTCATAGTGTATTCTGGTCTGATGCTTCCTGGATGATGCCTTGGGGCCAAGAAGTTCTTCACTCTAGACTGGGGAAGGTGCAGCAGCATGCATCATGTATCAGTACGCTACATTAGCGCGATCGAGTACTCACACATGTATAATGTGTATGTATGACGCGCGCAGTTGAAAATCGCCTGTAGTGATATACCGGTTATAGTGATAAAATGTGAAAAATCAGAAGGGCACGTTATAACCAATATCTACTGTACAGTTGGGCTCTGTGATGTCTGACCCACTTGAAGTGAAAAAACTGCTCACCCGGATCCTGTGATCTTTCAAGCTACCGTTTCCATGTCGACTGGAGCAGTAACACACAAGGCAAGGTAGATAGGTCTAAAGGCTTCCAAGAACGTTTTCTTGTGACAGTTAGAAAATACATCACAATAGAGAATACAAAAAGGGAACCTGCTAATAAATGCAGAGAAGGTGAAACATTTAGGAGAAATATCTAAGTTAGAGAAATAACACTAAGAGCAACAACAGTGAAATTTACAAGTGTGAATTTTAACAATCAAAGCGAGAACTGAACAAAGGAGAAAGGAAGGAAAGACAACGTGATAACACATAACAGCAGTACATTACACCTAGAACATTAACGGCCAAGCTTGGCCGCACTAAACACGACACGTTACTTGAACAATTTCAACCCAATTATACTATCTTTCTGTACACACAAATTAGGCTTGTACAGACGCTGATAGATAGCTTCCAACACTTTTAACTGTAGTCCATAACCATGACGACCACGGCACAATACAGTGAACGAAGAGTCGGAATACGCACCGCAACAATCAGGACTAGCCAGCAGATGATTGCACACTCCTTTCTCCTTTGTTCAGTTCTCGCTTTGATTGTTAAAATTCACACTTAGAAATATCTAGGTGAAACAATTAGTGGTGAAACGAATATTCGAACATTCGTTCAGCTGGTCACATTCGAATATTCTTTAAGTCGCATTTGAGTTGTTTGTTTGTTGGGCGACAGAAAACTCTGGAAGCTCAAGCAGCGTGGGTTTAAACAACCGCCGAAAATGTGTGACGATGAAGAAAGGAAGCTTGTGTGAATTTCAAGGACGATATTCTCGCTGCCTACACCAAACACAAGCCACCGACGTCTAATATGACCAAGGAGGAACGAGAGGAGCTGGCCAGACTCCGCAAGGACACAAGTACTTCATGGGCGTAGGAACCGGTCCGGCAGAATAATTTTCGATTATTTTTATTTTTATTTTTTACACTTCAACCTTGTTTGACCGTCAAACGTTACATTGGAGTTGAATTGCTGAATGGCTAGGTCGGTGTTCGTCAGATTGGCTGAATCCTGGATACCAATGCAGTCTAAGTCCCACAGATCTGGGATGGTGCAGGAGTCGGGAGTCGCATCAGTTAGAGAGACGATAGCTGGCATGGCTGTGCTGTTTATCGGTGCAGCTGAGGGCTTGGAGTGACGTGTTCGGCCAGTCACCACAAAACCGCCTGTGGTGGGCAGAAGCTGCAGTCCTGATGGAAGTCCTCTGGTGCTCCCCGCCATAAACTCCCAGAGGAAATCTGTACCGATCAAGACGTCTATCTGACGGTCGACTTCCTGCAGGTAGATAGTGTCCGCCAAGTTGTCTGTACCCAGTTCTTGGAGTGCCATGATATCCGCTGCTGGGATACCCTGCTGAGTGATAGCGTTGGTGATATGTGGCAACATGCTGGCTTCGATTTGCTTGGATGAGCCATCCTTCAATCGCAGACCAAGACCCACAACTCAGACCTTCCGTTGCATCTTCCTTGCATGACCGAAGGTAGATAAAGAGAGCCACTCATAGCGTGCCTAATCTGCTTGAATGGAGTCCGCCAACTTCTCTGTCAGATAAGAGCGGTGACTGGCAGAATCGAAGAGAACTGTCGCCATGACTGTGGAGCCGCCTGCACTCTCAATCGGAACTCTTGCTGTTTGCAGGTAAACATCACCACTTGCAATAGACGACTGAAGTGCAGCAGTGGGCTGCGTTTGAGGGGCCGCTGTGTCAGCACCTATGGCGATACTGGTTGATGCTGCACTGGCCGTTGTTGTGCTAGATGCTGGTACCTCGTCAGCCACAGGTTGAGTAGCTACCAGGTTGGTACTGTAGTGTTGCCAGATTTCTGTTGAGATTCAGGGCAGATCGTGACATGATGGTGACCCATGCGAGAACACACATTACAATTGCAGGTGGCCTTGCACTGAGTCGACCGGTGCCCTGTGCGCAAGCACACAAAGCAACGCTTCTATTCAATCAGTTGTTCTTTCCGCTGTGCTACTGTTGCGTATTTCGTGCAGCTCTTGTCCAGGTGAGATCCGCCGCAGAATGCACATCCTCTCTTACTGCTGGCATTCCAGTCACCATCGGACTTGTTCCTGCTCGTGAACTTGTGTGCGCCCGTCACCAATGCACCTGCAGAATAGCGAGTGGCATCTTCTGCCATAGTGCCGCCTGTGTTCGTGCGGCACAGAACGGTTTCTTGCATGATGACATAACGCTTCAGTGCTGTTCTGAAGTCGTGCAGTTTCCACTGTGTTCCAGCATCTGCCAAGCCTCGCGATTCTTCGAGTTTGGTGGCGACAGTAACCGGCAGTTTACTCCAGAGCTTCTGGCATAGCAGTCGCTGCTCATTCAGTTGCTCACCCTGCGTCTCCAGTTGGCGAAGTATTGCCTCCATGTCGCTCTGTACATGCCTGATGTCGCTGAACGAGTCTCCAGCACGCAGGATGTCTTCTAGTCTACTGTATAGACTAGAGATTATGGCTTCTGTGCGACCAAACCTTTCGCACAGGATCTGCTTCACAGTGGTGTAGTTGGCGCCTGTCACTGAGATTCCCTCTATCGCCTTGGCTGCCGCACCAGATAGCGTAGACTTCAAGTACGTCAACTTCGTGACATCTGCCATCCTCTGCAAGTCCACACCGGCGATGAAGCGGTCCCAGTAATCTGGCCATTCTAACATGTCTAAAATGCTAGTGTTGGAGTGGTCGAATTCAGCTTCCCAGTGTTCAAGCCCGTCCAATGTTTTTCAGCATCTTCCATCTCGTCGTAAACATTCGTACTTTTCCCTGATCTTTTCGCAGATAGCGTTAGCCCTCCGAATTGCTACTTGGATCAGGTTCAAATCGTTCTCCACGCTTGAACAAATTATTTTTTTCTTTTTCCTTGCTCAGCTCATAAAAAATTCTGTTGCGGATGCGGGTTACCTGCCCTTTGGCACTACTGCGCTGTAGCAGCAGCCGCTCTAGTGAAACTGTTGCGTTGTCTGATTCAGGTTCAGGTTTTACTTCCTTATCGTCCGACATCGTCGTCGGGATGTGATTCGTCCAGTCGAATCAGCGTTCGTCAGGATCCGTATCCTGGTCACAGCACCATGTGACGATTTGTTGATATCGGACGGATAATTATGATACACCAGAGAGTCAAGAGACAATAGTTACTTCTACGTTGTGTTTTTAGTTCCAAACCATAATCCAGGAGCGTCCTGAAAACGGCTACTGAATTCCAACTTCCAATGGAAAAGCCCGTCCTTTTCTCCAAGGACAAACAGCAAAAGGCACCAGCCAGCCAGAAAAGGATACGGGAAAATCTGGAATACTACCGTACTGCGCAGTAGAGCGCAGAAGAACCCCGCGCGCGCGTATGTGATATAAAGGAAGTGTGAGCAGGACTAAAGTACGATTTATGCTACAGTTCAAGCTGACGGAACACGTGCGGTGCTACACCGTAACCGGGTACCATGTGGAAGCAAATAGAAATAGAGGAGACACAGGATAGCAGACATGAACTCAGGGTCAAACTGATAAACGCGTAACGTGAAGCATGCAGTATATGGAGACAAGAGAAAAACACAGAGCTCTGTACGTACCGAGTATTACACACTAAACTCGTACATGTGAATGTCACGACATGTGGCGCTTGTTGATCAGCGAAGCGAAGTGGGTTCTGGAGGGGACTTTGAACTCCGGTTCAGTCAGCTTCAGTAAATCGATGAGCCCTCTGTCCTCTACAATGGAGAAGGGTCGACTGGAATCTACAATCCAGTCGATGATCAACTCCGTCAACATGCCTGACCGCCTGCTGTCGCAGGTTCGCAAGTTACCTGTGCCGAAGAACGACGTGACGGGCTTCGTTCCAGCACTGGTCGTCGCACTGCCACTGCGCTCGACATTGCTGGTACATGTAGTCGTCGTTGCTGTCGACTGGGTGGCTGGTCCTTTCCCTACCGCGGCGGCGTACTGCTCTTTATGAGCAGAACTCAGGTGCTGGAACAAGTTGGTTGTTCCGCTTTGACGGACGAACCCGCGGCTGCACAAATTGCATCTCGCTACGCTACCAGCTTCCTCGAAGTATGCCCAAACTGGCGATCTCTTCGTTCGACTAACTTTCGCTTTTACAGGCGGCGGCATTGTCACTGCTCTCCTCGCCAACAAATTAAACCTAACTGTAAGATTTTGACAAGAACTGAACAAATTAGAAGGCCGGCAGCCACACTCACAGTTTGGCTACAACCTAAATTATGAGGCTTTCCGGTTGTTACACTTTACGGCTACGCTGATTAGTCCAGTGAGTGCGCGCGGAGTACGATGTCGGCAGCTCAGGGCGGAATGTACGTCTACGAGTACCCAAAATGATCAAGCGCGCAATGATTGTACGGACCTGCGGCTGCATGCACGTGTACTTTGACGTACATGTACTTGCGTGCACGACGCGCGTGCATGATGCCATGCAATGATGCATCATCTGCATGTACTGGCAGCTCTCGTATGTACTGTCATAATCGTTATCGATCATAACGATTATCGATTTCATCCATAACGAGTGATATACGAGTAATCGGTATAATCGTTTCGGCCCTAATTAATTTGTAGAGAGAGGTGTAGTGCATGTGCAAGTACACTGTGTTTTCACAGCGTGCAGCCGGAAAGATTAATTATTAGATTGGTAGAAACGAGAGAGCTTGGAAGCTCAGGGCCCTACGCTACGCTTTTTTGCCTTGATGACCTAGACAAAAAAGAATAGGGATATTATAAATTCTTATAAGTGTCTACTTTTTGTTTTTAGACATATTAAACCTGGGATTCGAACCCGCACTATCGCCCTGCATGCATCCCCCGATACACTTCGCATACATACTAATTCTTCCAAGTTGCTTCACGTTATGATCTTGTATTTGAAAGCCCTATTTGAATATACATTGTGGCCAGCCGTCTTTGATTGTAGGGTACGGTACGGGATAGGTACGGGACAGGTACGGGACAGGTACGGGACAGGTACGGGACAGGTACGGTCGAGGGTAATACGCACCGCACCGTCTACCGCCTTGATGACGGCAAAAAAAGAAAAGGGATGTTATAAATTTTTCAATTATCCTATTTTTTCAGGCATTACCTGGGATTCGAACTCGCACTATCGCCTTACATGCATTCCCCCATACACTTCACATTCATACTCATTCTTCCAAGTTGCTTCACGTTTTGATCTTGCGTTTGAAAACCCTATTTGAATATTGCGGCCAGCTGTATGTGGCCAGCTGTGTTTGATGGTACGGTACGGTACGGGACAGATACGGCATAGCGCCAGGCGTGACACAAACACACAAACAAACAAACAAACCCCAAATTAAAGCTGTGTGGACCCTGGTTAGCGCCAGACGTTACTGAAGTAACGTCTTCTGCATAGCTACGGGAATAATAATGTCCACTAACACCACCAGTTACTAAACAATCAGCTCATGCGATAACATTGCACGACACTGACCGCTGACTGGTGGTGTTAGTAGACATTATAGTGTAACTTGTTGTTCCTTGATCCTTTTTATTTTCTACAAATTAATCCTTGGCTCTCCATCCTAGTCCATTCTTAGATTTTTAACAAAACAAACCTGTACTGGGGCGTTTGTAGATGTAGGCATCTCCCCTGGATGAGAAGGCAATGAAGGCAATCAGGACCCAGGAGAACGTAAATGCCGTAGTCTAGGGGAAGGAAAACAAAGAGGCACACAGCGCAGAACGCATGTTTAAAAAAAGTATGAAAAATTGCGTGTCAATTACCGAACGGTGAACACGGAACATCAGGGTATTAAAAAACCTTTGCCGTGCATCAGTCCATCCGGACTGGTATTTTTTGCGTGCTGTAAAACTGTCGTAACTCCATTGTTGTTAGATCGAAGAGGAAGCTCCAAGCTTTCCAATGGTTTAAACTAGTAGATGCATGTACAGGTACAGAGTGAGAACAACAGACGGGAGAGAGAAAGAGAGAAAGAGAGGAAGGCCAAGAAAGAATATCGAGGATTCCTCACCACCCCCTAGATGGCCGGCACACAGAACAAGAGCTAACTATGGGGGGGGGGGGGGGGAGCAGCATAGCATAGGTAGTGGTGGGACTATGATAAAAGATGAGGTTCTGAACTGAGGAGTTGGACCACAATGTCGTGAATATGCATCACGAATCTGCGTTACGCTCATTATTTTGTCTTTATTTGTTTATGTGTTACATCATGTTGACGTCATGCTGATGTCTTGCTGCATGCATCGCGTGCACCGTTTTGCAGCTCTCAGCCCGGAGCATGCGCAGCGAGCCTGTGGCTCCTTTTTTGCTGCCTTTTCCCTTTTGCATGCTTCACTTGTCTCTACTTGTCTCAACCTTGTCTCAAATAAGGTTTTCTGGTGACACTCCTTTTCAAGTCACCCAATCCTTTCAAGTAACAAGTGCAATGTCGTTCCGTGAACCGGAACCCCTCCATATTTGAGTTACCAAGACGTATTTGTGCGTGGCTATCCAAGCTCTCCCACTCAACAGTTCAAAGTTGCGCATACACAATGTTGGACCATGTTGCTTGTCGTGTTGCCCGCAAAATTGCTGTCCTGCTGCGACATGCTTCCTCGCTGCCATATCCATGCCGACTCACCTACTTCAGATCTATCAGTTTGCCTTTATTTGTGTATGCTTTTATTAGTTACTACCCGTATTTGTCAGTTGCTGAGGAACACCGGCTACATAGGCTGTTCAAACGCGCCGCTCGGGCAGTCTGCAAGTCGCCACCGTGGACTAGTACTGCTCCCCTGCTAAATCAAATGCATGTATGCAAGAGTCCATAACCCCCCAGAGCCCAACCTGGAGTTGCACACTCTGGGGGGTTATGGACTCTTGATGTATGTGATCTACAGGTTTCTGTGCACTTGAATAATATCATGTTTTATGTTTTGTTTCATCTGGCGATGTTTGCATGATGCATATAGCACCATATTCCAGTCGGAGGCCAAAGCAACTTGCTTGTGGTCCCACCTGCTAGCACTGCTCGTTCTGCTAAGCGCCTAACGCACGCTGGAGCCATTATGTGGAATAGATTGCCACCAGCAGCAAAATGTTCAAATAGGTATTTGGATATCAAATCTCAAGCCTTGCAGTATATATTATCGGCGACATAGGTTTTCCATTGCTCACTGGATTGATATCTGTAGATGGGCAACACTACAACAATGCAAGTCTGGAGGTAGCCATTGCAGGCTTCGTCTTCAAGCTCTGCGAGTTCTCTACTGCAAGCATGCACGCATGCGCACACTATACATATGTACATGATTACATCACTACATCTCCCCCTTCAAATAAAAAAAAGAAGAAGAAGAAGAAATCAAAATAAAGGAACAAAGTGAAGAAGGAAAAGCCAATTAATTAAAGAGAAAAAACAAAAAGAAGAAAAGGAAAAAACCGAAGCGAATGCGCATGCCATGCGCCAGTCATTAAAAACTGCAAATCACTGAGAAAAACAAAACAAAACACAACCACGCTACATACTACCGACAAGCGGCTGTGAACGAGGAAGAAAACAAAACAAAAAAATGTTCAGCACAAAAAAAAACGGTAAAATGGTCTCTACGTGTCCATGGACACACTGTCCTGCAGCAGCAGCAGCAGTCATCCATAAGCCGCTCTGGCCTTCTCTGTAAGGGTTACCTGACGGCCAGAACGGGTTTTCATGCCATCATGAAATCGCTTGGGAGACTCACTGGCTGGTGAGCTGGTCTGATCCCTGCAGACATCGCTAGGAGAAACTGGACGAGGCGAAGAACACGCGGGTGAGGCGTCAGCAAGTGCAGAACGGGTGAGAGGGGCCTCAGCTTCCGTTGACGCTGGCACCAATGGCTCACTACCTGTCGCCGATTGTGGTGCGGCCGGGCTAGTCGGAACCGGAACACTAACAGGAGGCGTGGACAGCGGTGACTTGGGTACGGAGGCAACAAACTCAGGCCAATCAGACGATGCAGCAGCAGGTGAGACCAATTCTCTGACATGTTGGCGGTTACGAAGCAGAATCCGGACACCGTCGGTTACTCCCACTTGCCTCCCGTACTGCTCCACCACGGTCCACGGCTTGGCTGGATCATTGTATCCGTCATGGAGGATCACCCGCTTGCCCGCCTGCAGATGTGGCAAGGCCTTCACTCCACGACGAGCGTCATGATCACGTGCCATTGTGGCCTTGGCTCTCAGCTGGATGCTGGGGTTGACAATGCGAGGAGGGATCATGGTAGGAACTCTGCTACGCAATGGGCGAGAGAACAGAGCCTCGTTTGGAGAGGTTCCCAACATGCGGTGTCGGGAATGTCGGACGTCGAACAGAACCTGGTTCAGTCGTCGACGGAAAGGTAAATGAGGCTTCAGTGCCACCATTCTTTCCTTGACGAGACGATGGAGTCGTTCCACCATGCCATTGGAACGTGGATAACGTGGGCTGGAGCGGATGTGACGAATGCCCAGCCGCTGCAAGAAGGTGGTCATCTGCTCCGACACAAACTGTGGCCGGTTATCCGAAACCAGTACAGACGGTAGACCGAATAGGGCAAACACTTCATCTAGCTCGTCCACGATAGCTGTAGTGGTTGTAGAGGACAGAACCTTGAGGATAGGGTACCGGGAGCCATAATCAATGAGGGAGAGAACAGAGTGGCCCTCAATAGATACCAGGTCGATTGCCAGTTTCTCCCACACGCCTTCAATCTCAGTGGGGAGAAGATCTTGCGGACTGTTTGTGCGACGTCGCCAACACTCGGAGCAACGTTCCACATACAGACTAGCGTCCTTGGTGAGCCCTGGCCACCAAACCCTCTGCCGGAGGGAATCTTGAAAGGCTTCCTGGCCCGGGTGTCCCTCATGCGCTAATGCCATGACGGAATGGCGTAGCCCTTCTGGTATCACAACACGTGCCGACAATAGCAACACACCGTCAGCTGCAGTGAGTTGATCTCTGACGAGATAGTACGGCTGCTCAGCGGGCGAGGCATCGCGCCAGGATGAGGTGAGCACACGCTGCAGGACACTGTGGAGCGTTGCGTCGTCTTGAGTGGCACGGCGGATCTCCTCAAGGTTGACTGGTGCTGCCTCAAGAACCATGTTGACGTACTCATTCAATGACCGGGACTCAGCTGGAGACGAGACAGTGGTCTTCAGCGGAGCACGAGACAAGGCGTCAACGCACAACAGTTGCTTTCCTGGGATGTGCTTGAGTGAGTACGAATACGGCATCAGAGAGACTAGCCAACGCTGGAGACGTGGTGGGACGTCATCGAACGGCTTCTGAACTATATGGAGCAGTGGTCTGTGATCCGTGAAGACGTCCACATCCCGGCCCAGAACGTACTGGCGGAAACGAGTTAGAGCGAATACCACACCCAACATTTCACGCTCCATCTGCGAATAGCGTGTCTCCACATCAGTCAATGATCGGCTGGCACAAGTGACTGGCACCCACTGGCCCTTGTCGTCGTGCTGCCAGAGGATAGCGCCCAAACCTTGAGGCGAAGCATCGCAGCTGACAGCCGTACGAACATCTGGAGATGGGCGGAAGTACGCCAATGTCTGCAGAGATGAAGCGACTGCCTGCTTTACTGCGTTGAATGCCGCAATCAGGCTCTCAGTAGCTACAAATGGCTCTGGCTGCTTGACGATCGAACGAAGTGGCTCAGTTACTTGAGACAGCTGAGGAACAAACTTGCCCAGATAGGTGACCATCCCGAGAAAACGCTGAACGTCGGCGAGGCACGTGGGCTCCGACAGTTCACTGATAGCTTGAAGCTTGCATGTGTCGGGTTGAACACCTTGCTTCGTCAGGACATGGCCGAGATACTTGACACATGTCAGTCGAGTGCGACACTTGCCCCAGTTGAGGCAGAGATTAGCAGCTTTGAGTCGTTCCAAAACGCTAGCGAGCCGTGCATCGTGTTCCGCCCGGTTGCGACCATACACCAAGACGTCATCTATATAGACAACAACACCAGGCAAACCCGAAAGGAGATCAGTTACAACACGCTGAAATATCTCGGGAGCACAGGATATGCCAAATGGCAGTCGTTTGAAACGATAGAGACCACAGTGTGTGGTAAACGTGGTAAGCGGTCGGGATTGGTCGTCAAGCAAGAGCTGGTGAAAACCAGACTCTGCGTCCAAAACCGAGAAAACCTCCGCTCCCGCAAGCTCCGCAGTAATCTCATCAATGGTTGGCAATGAACGTCGCTCTCTAACAATAGACTTGTTCAACTGCCGATAGTCAACACATAAACGCAAGGTGCCGTTTGACTTACGGACTGGGACGATCGGCGATACCCATCCAGACGCTTCCTTAACTGGCTCGATGATATCTGCCTTGACAAGACGATGCAGTTCATGTTCAATGTCGGCCTTGGCGCTGAATGGGGGACGTCGTGCTGGTTGAGCCACCGGCCTAGCTTCAGCATCCACGGAGATGGAAATTGGTGCGGTGTCAACCAAATTGCCAGTGTCCACCAGGTGCGCTGGAACCAACAGCTCAAGTTCAGAGATCACATCCTGGCCGAACAGAATACGATGTTTCCCATGGGGTACAACAAAACAACTACAAGACATGGTACGCGTAGGAGATGCAATGGTTACATCAGCCATGCCTAAAGTTGCAATCTCCCCGCCTGTGTACGCCTTGAGGACACGATTACTGCTGCGG